AGGCATGAAGGTCTAGTCAGAGACATATTAGAGGCAGAAACAGGAGTTAGGAGGGGTAGAGGTAGACCTAGATTAGATTACTGTTCGCAAATAGTTAAGGATGTGAGAAATGCAAAGATTAGCTCAGGATAGGAAGGAGTGGAGGTGCGTGTCCTACCTTGAGCAAGGAACTACGAAATTCTATGAATTACGACAAAACAGCTCGAAAAACAATATCGAATTCAGCTGTGTAAAACTGAAAACTACACGATATTGTGGTGTGCTAATAAATGCGTATAATCCAAAATCCTTAGAAAACGATTTGAAAAAATTTCACTTATTAGATGAACCCAAAGCTAAAAAAACTATGAATTCCATTTCTTTTTCTTAGAAAGATTAGAAACAAAATGGAGTTGTAAATTTTTTTGATATAAAATGATTGATAGTGATTTTACATCAATAAAACTATTGGCATTCCTGTTTTGGCTCTGATCTTTCACGCTAAGCAAACTATTTTGGCATCAGTGTCTTTTTTCCAATTAAAACGGGTGACAAAGGCAAATAAGGAAGCACATAGAAGAATTATTTGTTGCTGAACTGAAGAAATTATAACATAAAGATAGAAAAACTATATCTCAATCACTTCATACATTTTCTTCACAGCATTTTGCATTTAAATACTTTTAAAAAATATTTTTGTACCTATCTATTGGTGATTTGCAAATTTCAAATTTTCTTTTAATAATAGGCAATGGAAGCCCAGGTTGATGCAGGATTGGCGAAGGCCATCGGCCTATCGAATTTCAACATAAAACAAATTCAAAGAATTCTCGATAATGCCAGAATACCGCCTTGCAATTTGCAAGTAGAATTGCACGCGTTTTTCCAACAGAACGAGCTGTATAACTTTTGCAAGAAAAATAACATTGTCATGACTGCCTATTCTCCGCTGGGATCCCCCGGAATAGGAAAATTCATGTCACAATTCGGACAACAGTAAGTACAACTTTATTTTAGAAGATCAATTAATGCTTGTCAACGACTACAATACTTTCTTGTAATTAAATCTATTAATTAAGAACAAAAAATACTTACTAACTGTGATATTCTTCGAGGACGTCTTAGTAAGGAAGTATTATTGTAATATTTTAGAGTTGAAGCTCCGAATATACTGGGAGACCCAGTGGTCAAGCGGATCGCTAAAAAGCACAACAAAAAGGAATCGCAAGTTTTATTGCGTCACATTATTCAAAAAGGCATTGCTGCTATTCCTAAGAGTACAAATCCCGAACGTCTCAAACAAAACATCGATATTTTCGATTTCGAACTTGACAACGAGGACATGAAAGCGCTGAATGCACTTGACAAAGGACCTGCGGCTAGAATTGTTGACTTTTATGCCTTTAAAGGGTAAGGTTCTTAATGCATCCATACTTCATTCCATTCTGTCTTCATTATGAGCCAATCTTCGAATTTTCATAATACTAAAATATTCTACTTACGTCTACATTGACCCCTCTTTACTCCTGTTCCTACTTCTATTCCTTCATGTCTTAAAAAGTGTCTAGATTTCCTTTTGACCTCCATATTAATGTTAAGGTTACTTTTTATTGAAATGAAAGGAAAATGAAGGGGACGCATGAAGAATTTTCTTTTGGTTACGTTATAATCTGGAAGGTTTTCCCGTAACCGTCCCCTTTGTTATTAATTTAATTCTAGATACAAATAGAAATCTTAACGAGTAATATTTTGGACTAGAATTGTTGACTTTTATGCCTTTAAAGGGTAAGGTTCTTAATGCATCCATACTTCATTCCATTCTATCTTACTTATGAGCCAATCTTCGAATTTTCATAATACTAAAACATTCTACTTACGTCTACATTGACCCCTCTTTACTCCTGTTCCTACTTCTATTCCTTCATGTCTTAAAAAGTGTCTAGATTTCCTTTTGACCTCCATATTAATGTTAAGGTTACTTTTTATTGAAATGAAAGGAAAATGAAGGGGACGCATGAAGAATTTTCTTTTGGTTACGTTATAATCTGGAAGGTTTTCCCGTNCTACCACTAGTGGAAACTATCACGTAATCCCTCATTTCCTCTTCCCTCACTGCAATAAATACACATTGTATCATTTAAAAGGTACTTGAGGTTAGTTAGATCAAAAGACTTATTTAGCTGGTTGATATTATGGTTTCTTTGAGGTTTGAGAAGTACAACTTCGGACTGAACACATTGCTGGACTTTCAAATATTGGGCTTTGTAAGAACCAATCGATAGATCGTGGTGTTACTAAATCATTCAATAAGTATTTATTTATTGCTTGACAATAATGTCTACGTTCCATTAGAGTTGGGTTAGATGGTATTAACTAATCAGAATTTTGGCATTCATTTCTTCAGGAATATTCTGATGACCACTAAGTCACTCTAATTTGCATTTAGGAATTTCACACTTTTCAAATACAAATTAATGTTTAGAAAAAGGTATTTAAAATAAAAAAACAAAAGGAGGTGTTAATTAACTCAAAGAATCAAAGGAATGTTGGATTTGATTCCTTGCGTTCGTAAAATGCATGGGTGAAAATGGTAAGTAACTATTTGAAAAAAAAACATATTAATGGCTATACGTAATAACGTAACCAGTCCTGAACCAATCCTGCATTAAATTTACATAGGACAGGGGGCTTTCATAACGGGACTTCCCCGTCTGTCAGTCAATCAATCAATAGAGAAGCGTATTCGACGGTAAGAAAAGAAATACAAATAAAACAAAAATTTTGACATATAAGGATGGTAAAAGTAGTAAAGGAGCTAATATAAAAATAGGAGACGAAAAATTAGAAGAATTAAGTTGCTGATTTTCGATAGATGTCTAAGAAGTCTGATAACTTGGGAAGATCCCACTTGTGCAATCGATTTAAAAAAATTGTTTCGTCGCGAATAAGATAAAAAAAGCGTTTTCGGATTCACCCTGATTTAAAAAATTTACAAGAAGTGGCTTTCTCCAATAGCATAGGCTTTGGAAGACCCCCAACAAAGCCATCAAAAGTATTAGGTTTCGATATTTCCGGCTCTGAATAACGTACACATTTTGCCCATAGCAAAAAAAATAAAAAATATGGGTGTCCAATCCACTGGCTTTTAACTTTCATGGTTTAGATGCTATTTGGTCTGATTTAAACCGTATTTTTTTTTCAAAACCAGTTGAATATCTCAAAAACTGCTAGAGATAGGGGCAGTGAACTGTTAACAAAGAAGTCGACCTAAAATTTAATAAAGAAACGAAAAATGTAAATATATACAGGGTGTCTAATTATAAATAACGAAGTTAGGAAGAAATGGGGAACACTCTGTATAACTGAACATATTTTCTGTATATGATTCCAGACCACTTTTATAAAACATTTTTTTTTATTAAAAGTATAATAACAGAGTTATGGACGAAACCGCTTTATGCGGAACACCCTGTATATTTCAACGGGATGTCAACTGCAACTGATGGATTTCAGAAACTCAATCTCAATTGAACCCTAGACTCCAGTCTCAGTTTCAGTACAACCACAGCGAAGGAGTTTATTTTCTCGCTATGTCCTCTCTGGGGCTCCGGGGATGTCAACCACAGCAGTCGGGTTTCAAAGACTCAGTCACAATAGAACTCTTGACTCAGTCTCAGTACAACTAATCTCAATACAACTCTAGACTTAGTTTCAGTACAGCCACAGTCTCAGTCTTAGTACAACCACAGCGAAGGTCTTTTGACCCTGGGGATGTCAACTGCAATTGATGGATTTCAGAGACTCAATCTCAATACAATCCTAGACTCAGTCTTAGTACAACCACAGTCTCAGTCGCAGTATAACCACAGCGAGGGACTTTACCTCCTCGTTATGTTCTCTCTGGGGCTCCGGGGATGTCAACCACAGCAGTCCGATTTCAGAGACTCAGTCTCAATAAAACCCCAAACTCAGTCTCAGTACAACCACAGTCTCAGTCTCAGTACAACCACAACAAAGAATTTTACAAAAATTGCTTTTATCTAGCGTGCTAAGTAGGTTCATGTAATAGATTAGATTGAGGAAGGTATATAATTGTAATGATTATCGGTAAAGTAGAATTGTACTTAATTAAAATATTTCGAAACTTTATTAAGTGTAGTTTACAGTGCAACATTTTGTAAAATCATTATTGTTCGAATTGTATAATAATAATAATAATAATTGATAACAATATAGTGAACAGACCGTAACAATAATTAACAACTTATATCGCAAAAGAATATAACTTATTTGAGCTTTATATACATACATACATACATACATATACATATCCATATAATGTTAAATTTAATCGAAACTATAAAATTACGTCTTTTATCGGCAACTGCACAAAATTGTCTATTTTTATTCTATCTATCTACACGTATTAGATAACCTAACTATAAATGAACTTAAAGGCAAGTTTCTCGTTCGGTTATTTCTTCGATATTTATCGCGGAGCAGTCGCGTCTGTTGTTGTGATAAACGATAACATTTCTGCGTTCGTCATTTGGTGGTGATAATCCAAGTGGGATAAAATTCTCTTCGACAATTTCGATGCGATGAGATTCTGCTTCTAAAACTGTTTCTTGTTGGTTCGAAAGGTTTTGCATTGGTGATAAAGGAAAGCGATTTTGATTGTGGTTATTGTTATTTGAACAGTCGGAGGTGCTACACGTGTTAAGGGCTTCAGTGCTGGCGATTTCGAACGGTTTTTGACTAGACTTGCCGCGAATAAAATGACGATTTAATACTGTATTCATCGAACTACTTCGGTCTAATCTACTTCCTAATATTTCTAGATCGTTCATACTTTTAGAAAATCGATTGTTTCTTGATATGTTCGTTTGAGTTTGCTGATGAATGTTGTGCAAGCTTTTCTTTAGAACTTCAACGCTGGTCCAAAGAAGACGGTTTCTGATAACGGACGCGTTCTCGTTCGCGCTGCGCGGCGGATTTTTATCGTTGGTTTTCAGCATCATGCTGATCTCGCTGTAGGACGGAGGAAGATCACAGTTTTTGGTGCCGAAAATGTCCTCGTATGACGGCGGGAAACAATTGATGGATGTGAAGGAGCGCATCTTGTACGCGCTCTCGGAATCTAGGACGCTAGCGGAGCTTCCTTCGAAGCGGTGCCTGTTTCGGATCATGTTGGCGCTCAATTCCATGAAATCGATGCCCGAGTAGTCGGCCTGGAGTTGGGTGAAAATTCGACGATCCACCACCAGCATACGACCGAAAGGTAAAAGGATTATTGTAGGCGTTGCTGGCGAGGTTGTGTACCCTGAAAAATTCAACAGGAATCAAATAATCATTCACGATTGATTACTCCCGATCTCATCCACGTGGATTTCAGATATATCTGTCAATTTTTTTTGGGAGGACGAAAAGGTTTGTTAGTAATACTTTATTATTTTTCGAAACGTTTTGCAATTTTATCGATCATAGTATGCATGCTACATCAATATTCACCATAATGAGAAAAGAGTTTGATGTAGCATCAAAAGCTTAAAGAATAATAAGGCACCAGGTGTAGATGGAACACAGGGGGAAATTCTAAAACATGCAGGACAAGAGGTTAGAGATCGTATGTTTAAGCTAGTTAGTCACATTTACGAGACAGGGAAAGTCCCAGTGGATTACAAAAAGGGAGGCGCGGGTAAGTGCGAGACATATAGAACAATTAGCTTAACTTGCCATGCGTCAAAATCAAAAAAGGACGGAAGAACTATTAGGGGAAGATCAATTTGAGTTAAGAAGAAATAGAGGAACACGGGAGGTCATTCTAGCTTTACGGGTAACAATAGAGAAAACGATAGAAAAAAGAAAGTGTAGATAGGATTTGTAGATTTAGAAAAAGTTTTTGACAATGTTAAATCGGACAAGATGTTAAATATACTTAAAAATATAGGGATGAGTTACAAAGATGGAAGAGTGATACTTAGTTTGTATAAAGAGCAACAGGCAGTTATATAGCTGGGGCTGCAACNATAGCTGGGGCTGCATCGTAGAAAAGTAAATATTAAGAAATATGTCAGACAGGGATGTATACATTGAAGACGCGATCAACATTATTAAAGACGGTACAATTGTAGGGATAGATATACAGGGGCAAAAGATTAGTATGCTTAGATTTGCAGATGATATAGCATTATTAGCCTCTAGCAAGGAATTAGAGATAGCTTTAAATAAAATGGATGCTGTATTGACAGTAGGAAAATAAATAAAAGTAAAACAAAAATATTGGTATGCAAGCGAAGAAAAAATTGGGAAAGAGCGAAAATAAAGATAGGAAACGAAAAATTAGAAGAAGTGACCGATTTTAGGTATCTAGGAGATCAGATAAGTCATGACGGAAGGAGTATTAGGGAAATAAAGCAAAGGATAGCGAAGGGTCGAGTCGCATTCAATAAAAAGAAGTCATCTCTATGCTCGCGAACGGTTACTTTAGAAATTCGAAAAAGGTTGTTAAAGGTGTATGTTTGGTGTGTACGGATGCGAAATAGACAGTGGGAGTGGCGAAAAAAAAGGGTTAGAAGCGTTCGAAATGTTGTGTTACAGGCGAATGATGAGGATACCGTAGATAGAGAAGGTTAGAAATGAAGAGGTTTTATAAAGAATAGGAGAACAGAGGACTCTATGGAAGTCAATACGAAATAGGCGAGATAGGTTGGTAGGACACCTTCTCAGGTGTTAAGGTCTAGTCAGAGACATATTAGAGGCAGAAACGGGAGTTATGAGAGGTAGTGCTAGACTTAGATTAGATTACTGTTCGCAAATAATTAAGGATGTGGGATGTTCTAGTTTTTGGGAAATGCGAAGATTAGCTCAGGAGAGGAAATAGTGAAGGTGCCTGTCTAACCAGTCTTAGGACTGACGACCTTATAATGATGATGTGTCAAATAAAAATTATTCACCTTGTTCTTGACTTATATCCACATTAGCCTTAAATTTATAGTATTAATACTGGCTAAAATATACCATGTTGTTTTCAATATGGCATTTTACATTTTTCAATGATTTGAAAATGATATAAACGCTTGAATAGTGTTAAATCAGTAGGAGGAAAGAGAAAAATAGTCAACAATAGTGTAATTAATTTTCTTGTTTCCTCCTCGTCAGTTAATGTCTATAGATTTTCATTTGTAATATTTTTCTAGTTCCACAACATTTCAATTGACTTAAACATGGAGTGTTTTCCTTGCGTGAGTTTCGACTTAAATTTAAACTTTAAATTTATAGTACCTACTGCCTAGCAATACTAAAATAGAACTTTTAGAATATCGTGAATTATGTGAAAATAACAATAATTTATTGGAAACAATATACATACGTAGGTATATGCTAGAGCCCGCAACTTAAAAATAAAACACCAGTGTAACAATGATGTGCATTATTTAATATTAATATTTATTCGTAAATCATCCAATTAAAATATTTGGCTACACAGAAACTTATAAATTTATTTGAAGTAACAGCATATTGCAATACTTCCTCTAATTTTCCATTAAAAAATCTTTTATAATCTGTGATGGGTAGGCACTATTGAAAAAAAAAACAAATGCGATTTAAATAGAACCATGGCTTTTAGCATATTTAATGCCTATTATAGGATCCATTGTTTGATAACGAATTATAATGATTTTGACTGCCTCAAAAGGAATTACAAAAGAGATATTGAATTATTGATCTAATCAAAGGCTAAAGGATAAAACCCAGGAAATTTAGGTGCATATATTAAGTTGGGTTTTTAATACGTCTATGAAACAACCAATATTGAAATATTTTTTTAGTTTATAAACTTTATAGATGTATAAAAATTGTTGTTAAAATTAATCGATTTCTTGTAAACAGTAGAACCTGTAGAGGTAGTTTAGAATTTCATGAACCTTGGTTTTAGGTTACGCATTGACAAAACTCCGATGGTTCATGTACTTGTGCATTTTTGCTTCTTAATATTAAAAACATTGGTTGTAAACGTTTGCAGTTTATAATTACTTTAATATCTCAGGAGTCTTCACATGTCCCTGAGTCGGACCTTTTTACATTTAATCATTGCATATTACGAAAACATTGATCCGGTTGTTAACTGTAAACAGTAGGGGTCAATGCTTTTAGAATGTAGAAATGCAGAAATTAGGAACTTTGTCACCGTGCAAATCAAGGCCTAGGTGCACGAGAACAGTTTAGTCAACGTTTCGTAATGCATAATATGAGTGAAGGCTCATGAGATTTTGAAGTAGCTGTACTTGATAGGGTTTTTGTTTTTGGATCATACTGAAAGCTATTTAACATAATGTCCTATATATGACTTACACTCATAATATATTTTCATACACTCTAATTAGATTAGTTAGATTAAGTTCCTTCATTAAACCCTATTAGGTAAGAGCTCTTTATTTGGTTATTTTCTCATTTCGGTATAAATGATGATGGAGGCGCCGGTCACATTATTATGGTGATTAAAGGTTGAGTTATTTTACTAAAGTAACATTAACATTAGTATTAGTATTAATAAACAAAATTAATATGTGTGATAAATTTTGAACATTATCATCGGATTAAAACAAAGAGAAAGAAATGCATGAAAGGTAGTTAAAAGTTGCAATTGTTGATACTGATAGTAGGGATTGTATAATTAAATGTTTTATTTTATCATTATTATTTTAAAACTTGAAAAGTANAATGTTTAGAAAAAAGCTTTTGAAAATGTAGAAATAGAACTTTAAACAGAACTATTTCGAATAAATCAGATTTCTAGACATATATTATATGTATTAAACAAAATATGTGCGTGATTTGCTACAGTTGCTTTATAATTTATAGTTGTCGACACAACAGTATAGAAACTCGAAAATATTTCTTTTAATAAGTAATTATAGTGGACTGTTATTTATTCAACTGTTATAGATAAATCACAAAAGTTATTGTTGCGGTATTTCTTATTAATTATATTGTTAATCTTTATTAATATTGTAGTAGATGCGAATTTGTTAGGGGCTGCCTATAAATTACTAAAATGTTTTTGATACTTTCTCCTAATATAACGACACCGTAACACGTTTGTTGTAAAAGTTTTAGACTTCAGTTAAAACAAGTTGTTTTAATTTCCACTAATAAATAATTTAATTTTAGATTCTAACAGGACCTCCCCTCTCTATCAGGACCACGATACCTCGGGGGGAACTCCCCCCTTTCCCAATTAGCGTAATTTATGGTCAGTCCCTTACTTGGAAAACAAGAAATTTGTTCATAACACTTAAGACAGTAACAATATTTATATACAAACATAACAATTGAAAATCGGAGACATGCACAATAATGAAATTAAAACAAAAACGAAATGAAAAGCATTATTGCAAATTGTTTACGTATAATTGCCTAGTTAAAGTTTAATTGCAAGGCAGAAAACATTAAGTTACGTATGTATCTAGGTATTTCAATAGAGTTATTATTGTAAAATTTCGTTTGAAAAGTTAGTTACGCACACGTGTCTTCTTCAAAACACAAGACAAAAGCCATCTTTTACAGCGTAAAGCAAAATTTACCTCTCTATTTTTAACCTTCTTACTACCACTAGTGGAAACTATCACGTAATCCCTCATTTCCTCTTCCCTCACTGCAATAAATACACATTGTATCATTTAAAAGGTACTTGAGGTTAGTTAGATCAAAAGACTTATTTAGCTGGTTGATATTATGGTTTCTTTGAGGTTTGAGAAGTACAACTTCGGACTGAACACATTGCTGGACTTTCAAATATTGGGCTTTGTAAGAACCAATCGATAGATCGTGGTGTTACTAAATCATTCAATAAGTATTTATTTATTGCTTGACAATAATGTCTACGTTCCATTAGAGTTGGGTTAGATGGTATTAACTAATCAGAATTTTGGCATTCATTTCTTCAGGAATATTCTGATGACCACTAAGTCACTCTAATTTGCATTTAGGAATTTCACACTTTTCAAATACAAATTAATGTTTAGAAAAAGGTATTTAAAATAAAAAAACAAAAGGAGGTGTTAATTAACTCAAAGAATCAAAGGAATGTTGGATTTGATTCCTTGCGTTCGTAAAATGCATGGGTGAAAATGGTAAGTAACTATTTGAAAAAAAAACATATTAATGGCTATACGTAATAACGTAACCAGTCCTGAACCAATCCTGCATTAAATTTACATAGGACAGGGGGCTTTCATAACGGGACTTCCCCGTCTGTCAGTCAATCAATCAATAGAGAAGCGTATTCGACGGTAAGAAAAGAAATACAAATAAAACAAAAATTTTGACATATAAGGATGGTAAAAGTAGTAAAGGAGCTAATATAAAAATAGGAGACGAAAAATTAGAAGAATTAAGTTGCTGATTTTCGATAGATGTCTAAGAAGTCTGATAACTTGGGAAGATCCCACTTGTGCAATCGATTTAAAAAAATTGTTTCGTCGCGAATAAGATAAAAAAAGCGTTTTCGGATTCACCCTGATTTAAAAAATTTACAAGAAGTGGCTTTCTCCAATAGCATAGGCTTTGGAAGACCCCCAACAAAGCCATCAAAAGTATTAGGTTTCGATATTTCCGGCTCTGAATAACGTACACATTTTGCCCATAGCAAAAAAAATAAAAAATATGGGTGTCCAATCCACTGGCTTTTAACTTTCATGGTTTAGATGCTATTTGGTCTGATTTAAACCGTATTTTTTTTTCAAAACCAGTTGAATATCTCAAAAACTGCTAGAGATAGGGGCAGTGAACTGTTAACAAAGAAGTCGACCTAAAATTTAATAAAGAAACGAAAAATGTAAATATATACAGGGTGTCTAATTATAAATAACGAAGTTAGGAAGAAATGGGGAACACTCTGTATAACTGAACATATTTTCTGTATATGATTCCAGACCACTTTTATAAAACATTTTTTTTTATTAAAAGTATAATAACAGAGTTATGGACGAAACCGCTTTATGCGGAACACCCTGTATATTTCAACGATTTTTAACGATTTGTTTCTATATATAATTACACAATTTGTTTTTAATTAACATTATCATTAAAAACAATATGAAGCAGATTTGCATGGACATCCTTGGCAAAATGTACGTAATTCCTTTACTGCAATAAATCATTTCGAAATGTTTAGTTGCATTAATTAGACCATTTGCAACTGTCACACTATTTGCATTCTTTCCTGGCAATAAATTATGAGATAAATTGCGTTGATAACTGGTCTACTTGAAAATTAAACAGTATGCAATGCTAGCAAAATGTTGGCATCATCGTCTGCAGTGACTTAGGAGATACTCGGAAAGTGTAAATTTGGAGTCACGCTGTCTGCTGGTGTGTTATGTGATCACTATGATGAGATCGTGATTTAAATCAGTGGCGGCTGGTACATCAGTTTACGTGGTGGTGGTGGGGGGGACTGAGGTACCGTGTTCGACGTAATTTTTTAGAATAGAGAAAAGCCAGTAGCGAATCAAGAAGAGAATTCAAATGATAGGAATCTAGTAGAAACTCATTGACAGAGTCAGATTCAGGTCATCTAGAAGTCAAAACTTTAGCTAAATATTCGGAAGGAGATCGGTGCCTTTGCCCATGCTTTTGTAAGGTTTTCTTCGATCGTTTAGAGGTTTAGATAAATGCCAAGGCAGTAGTATTGCATAAATAACCTTTCATTTCCCTTATGACTTCATTTCGTCTCTCCAACCACCATCCACTCCACTTATTCCCATGGTTCCCAAACGGTAGTTCGGAAGAGGTTCTTTCGGTCTACACTGGAGTAGTCGAAGAACTACCGACGAGAAAGAAAGACGAAAACTTTTTTTTACAGTTAACATTCGTATTTCTCGAAAACTAGAACTACTATGACATCCTTAACTACACGCGAATAGTAATCAAATCTGGGTATTCGTCGTCTTCAGATCCTGCTATAGCCAACTTAACTGGTACCTCCTCTCTTGTGTTAGACTCAGATTAGCTAAACCCTATGGTTAATAGTTCAGTCGTTTTAGTTTCTATTGATTTTGTTTCATCTGTTCATGTATTTCCTCGTCCACTTCTGAATCTTCAATCTTCAGGTGTTTCAACTGTTTTAATAAGGGTAGAAATTCGAAAAAGGTTGTTAAAGGTGTATGTTTGGAGCACGACGCTGTACGGGTGCGAAACATGGACAGTGGGCACAGCGGAAAAGGAAAGGTTAGAAACGTTCGAAATGTGTGGTGCTACAGGCGAATGATGAGGAAATCGTGGGTTAAAGGTTAGAAATGAAGAGGTATTAGAAAGAGTGGGAGAACAAAGGACTCTACGGAATTCAATAAGAAATAGGCGAGATAGGTTGGTAGGGCACTTTCTTAGTCATGAAGGTCCAGTCAGATTAGAGGCAGAAACAGGAGTTAAGAGGAGTAGAGTTAAACCTAGATTAGATTACTGTTCGCAAATAGTTAAGGATGTGGGTTGTTCTAGTATTAGGGAAATGCGAAGATTAGCTCAGGATAGGAAAGAGTGGAGGTGCATGTCCAACCAGTCTTAGGACTGACGACCTTATGATGATAATGCGGGAAATCCGGTATTACCAAAAGAAGTTCTCGATTTTATTCTTGGTATTGCAATCTTTTTAAAACCACTAGTTCATTTTGAGCCTGTTGGAGGTGTTGATGTTAGCATTTACTAATAAAGTAAGTTCGGGTTTTAATGATAAAAGATTATCCTCTGATATCCCACAGATTAGAAGAGCAACTTCACGTCTGGGTAATAAGCGTTGTCAGGTAGGGAGTTCGGGATCTATTAAAAATAAAGTAGCATTTGGTTTTAGTGATAAAAAAACACATTTTAAGGTTCAGGCGTATTTAGGGTATTTTGGTCAGGTCTCAGTTACGTATCTGTAGATTGAGAAATGTTGGTAATGTTTTGAATGCAGTAAGTTCAGGTTTATGTAATTGAAGTTGTTTATATGAATATGGTGGTTTACATATGAAGAAAGTGGGCATTGTAATTGTTGTACATTATCTTGTTATTATATTTATATTTTAAATATTAGTCTTACCGATTTTATTATCTCTTTCTGAGAGCTTCGAGCTCTCATTAAAACAGTTGAATCCAGGAACCATTGGCTGAGTTTTCCCGAGATAATTTTTGTGTCGTTATGGTTCCTTGTTTGATAAAAAGTTTGTTCTGACGTAGGATTTTAGTATTGACAAAGTTAGATGTATGACCTATTTCAATTATACGTTTGACTAGGGTAGTTTTATGTGAAGTAGCCTGGATATTATATTTTTTATAGTCGTTTTTATGCTCTTTTATCCTGATATGGAGCAGCTTTTTGGTTAGGCCTATACTTCTTCACCAAATGTGAACCGATTGTAATAATGGGCTATATCTCGAGAATGATCCAATTTAAATTTGAAGAAAATATTCCACCTCATAAGTGTGAAAAAACAGGGAATGAATCTCGTTTTTAATCAATTTAAGTTTGTATTTATGAATGTAACAATATCTTTTACGTTGATTGTTGCGTTTTGATTAGATTACAAATAATTACGTAATTATTCAAACATATGTCAAGTTTGAGTGGGTCTAGTCAACGAAATAATTTACAAACTTTGTAACAGTTATAAAATGAGATAAAATATCACCCGAATGCGATAATTATTTTGCTTTTATAAAAAATAAGCAGAGTTAAAATAAAAGACACAAAACGAAAACATCGTCAGGTTTTTTCTGGTTGTAACTTTAACTACTAGCTAATAAAAACAAATCAGATCAAAGCCTGGGAGAAGATAAAACGTTTTTTTTATTGTCTTTTGTAGCAGAGGAGTGTCGATTACCGCCTTTAATCTTTAAAGACGAATTTTGCTTTAAAAAAAATGCAACTATTAATACTTAAACGTTACGCATTTTATTGGTACAACAATAAAATTATTTGGAAAAATAGAACCGAATCTGTGCATAGTACTAATTAATTATACAACAGAATCAATAAAAATATTACAATTAGCTATTAAAACAATTAATTAATTAAATCATATTTAAATTTTTGAATGTGTTCATGAAAATGCAATCAGGTGGCGTTTGAGTTGATGAATTAACCGGAAAGAAGGATTGGTTCAGCGGAAAAGCGTTGTGTCGGTATTGCTAATTGTAGTGCGTGATGGTGCTTGTTGTTCACGTTTTAATTTTTATTTAGTGTTATATTAATGACCTTTTCGATTGTGTCAGTGTTGGAATGAAGTTGCTGGGCAAAATACGATGTCAACAAGCTTAAGGTAAGGTATTTCTGTATCATTTTATATTATATGTATATCCAATTTCTGTAAACATACGACAACAAATTGAGGTTAAGTTTGTATCGATATTTTTCGCCGGCAAAAATATGATGTCTACATGTACCCATAATAAACATTGCTCTGATGTTTAAAGGTATTTTTATTGTTGGTTTCGAAAATTTCACTTGTCAAAGAATCCTGGGCATATTTTCAATTGCCAAGGAAAAGCATTAGAATAAGTGATGCTATGAGTAGGTACATGTGGGTAATTTGAGGGTTATTAGACGGATAATAATTTCCATAAATATACAATTGGAATATTTGCTGTTGTAATACCTTGGTCCATGTTGGGTTCGTCCATAGGACAAAAGCAGCAAATCTTTCGTTTGCAGAAAGAGCGTACTGCTGGTGCTCCCCAGAAGCAGAATAATAATATAATCATGAGTACAACAATCATAACTATGAGGGTGGGTAGACCCTGATGAACATTGGGCACGTAAAAGCTCTGGGGGTTACTGCCCAAAGGATAACTCATAGGTTGTTGACTCCCTGGCGAAGGGCTCATTTCTGAAAAAGAGATAGGATTATTTTGTTAAGGTTTTCGGTTTTCCTGAAATAAATGAATGTTAGGGTTGTATTTTAATAAGTGTTTGAAGAATTTTTGTTATAAAATTGCTTCTCGAGACGCGGACTAATTTAAATATTTTGAAGTATTATAGGTGTAACAATAATGCACATCATTGTTACACTGGTGTTTTATTTTTAAGTTGCGGGCTCTAGCATATACCTACGTATGTATATTGTTTCCAATAAATTATTGTTATTTTCACATAATTCACGATATTCTAAAAGTTCTATTTTAGTATTGCTAGGCAGTAGGTACTATAAATTTAAAGTTTAAATTTAAGTCGAAACTCACGCAAGGAAAACACTCCATGTTTAAGTCAATTGAAATGTTGTGGAACTAGAAAAAATATTCTTGAAGAAATGAATGCCAAAATTCTGATTAGTTAATACCATCTGACCCAACTGTAGTGAAACATAGGGATTATTGTCAAGCAATAAATAAATACTTATTGAATGATTTAGTAACACAACGGTCTATCGATTGGTTCTTACAAAGCCTAATATTTGAAAGTCC